AGTGATGAGAGCAGGAGACCTGGCAGTCAATTCTGTGACAGATGCTGGGGCCAAATCACCCGGACAACTCCTCTCAATAATAAATCTGAGAAGCTAATCTCTGCTAAATTGTTAATGGCCGCTAATGAGATATTCAGCTACCCTTTCAGATAGGATATTTGCATTTAAATGAGCCCCTCTGGAAGGACTCCTATAACACAAAGGCCAATTCTAAATGGTGACCCTGTCCTGTGGCTCTGGTTTCACCTTGTCCCTTGCTGGGACTCCTGGCATCAGTAGGTCATTTGATCTCTAATTTCAGACTACCAGAAAGGAAACACTACAGACCTCAAAGTCAAGATCTAAAGTTTAGTGTCTAAAAAGGACTGTGCAATGAAAAGTCATAAAGTAAAGAATAAAAATACCTCTTTCATAACACCCTACTCTTTGTACTTTAAATTACGTGACATATTGTTGAATGTCAAATTCCAAGAAGACAAATTCAACCTCTTTATGTTTAAATAAAACATTTTCTACTTCTTTTTCCTTTTCTTTACAGTTTCCCTATGCCTCTTACCACACTGTACTATCTGAAGCTGTTAAACATGACCATTTCGTGTCTTTGATTTTTGTCTTTTCCGTAACGTCATCAATATACTGATTCCCTTCCGTGACAGGTCTGCGTTCCCATGAGAAACTATCTATGCCTCCAGTGTCTGGTTTCACACAATGGAAACTGTACTAGAGAGGATAAGAAAACATGTTCTGGGGCTGTCCCAAGTCTCAGCACTGCCCACTGCCTCAGACAAAATGAAGATAATAACCAATATCTTTTACTCTTTGAGCAAATCTGTATATTAGCCTTTGTTCTCCTCACTTCAAAATAGAGATTATGTCAGGCTGTGTGTGTAAGAACCCTCACCCAAGTTCAACTGCAAAACTTCTAGCCTTCCAAGTTTCTTATTCTCTTCACTTTCTCATCCTCCCTTCCTTTGACTTTACATGGGCCTTTATTTTCAACACCAGATACCTAGCAATTCTTTCAACTCAGTTAGAAATTGTTTAGACTGAGTAGTTTCATTCTTCAAAATGAAACTATTAGCACTTTAGAGATGGAAACCTGTCCAACTTGCAAGAATAGCATTTGTAGAGTGTGCACTGCCCTTAAAGTTTGCACTAAGCAATTTCACATCATCTCATTTTATCCTCACAGAAATTCTACTTTGGGATTTTATCTTATTGTTTTGTTTTCACATGGACCTTTGTCCATTTGGAAAGCCTATATAACTCCTCTCAATAAATTTAAATGCATAAAATACAGTACATACAATCGCAAAGAAAACTATAATTTTAAAGTTTAATAATCAAAGTGTTTATGAAATAAATTTATGATCTAAAAATGTAAGAGCACTTAAACTCATTAAATAATTACAGCAGTGTTTCTATTAACTGCTATACTTTTTAAAACTATGTGACATTAGGGGAATGGATTAATAATTCTGAATCTGTTAAGCCTATATACCAGAATTAAACAATTATGTGAAAACATAGCAGATGACAGAAATGATGGGGGAAGTCTCTAGAATGATCTCTGTGTTAATGCATTAGAGCTGGATGTGGATATACCAGTATGTATTCATACTTAGTTCACAGACATTTACATAAAAATAGTTAAATATGTCTATAAACATGGGTTAGTAAACACATATATATATATTTTTTTTATTCGTTAAGAAGACCTAAACAAAACAAAACCCAGTAGCAACGAATGTACCTAGAACCCAGATCTTGGTTTGTATTTATTCTCCAGTAAATGGAACCAGGGTTCCTTGGAGAAATGGCTGATTCTAGGAATGGCTAGAAAATATACAAGATTAGCCTGGAATATCTTATACTACCATGGAAATTTCCCACACATAATTAAATCACAAAGAACTGTTAACACACACACAAATCAGAGAGGTAAGTTAAAGAAACACAGATACCAACTGAAAGAGCTCCCAATGGCCCATGCTGGAATAATTTGAAAAACAAAATAAATGATATGGATATTACCTAAAGAGCAAAATACATATCCACAAATCTATATTGACATAAACAGATAATTGAACAAATTAATATTTAGGGGAGAATAGACAAAACTTCTATGCAGAAAAATTCCAAATACTTGATGCACATACTTCATCCTTAAACACAATTCCTCCTCCTTAGGTTTGCCCTTCAAATAGTGTCTTGCTTCCAAGAAATACACTAAAGAAGGGATGGACAATGACTTCACAATGGAGAAACATAGCAAACAGTGGCTGAGCGAGGTCAACAACAACAGACATAAGTCACATTGATTGTAATGATCTCAATATGATGTGATGAAAAGAGTACTCTACCTCTGGAGTCATCCTCTCAATAACCCATAACCAGAGTCTTCTCCAAGAAAAGCATTAAATTACAATGGTGGGACATCATACAAAATACTTGACTACTACTCTGCAAAACTATCAAGATTGGGCTGGGGTTATGGCTCAGAGACAGAGCGTTTTCTTAGCACCTGTGAGGCACTGTGGTGCCTCAGCACCACATAAAAATAAAGATATGTGTCTATCTATAGCTAAAAAAAATTATTTAAAAAAATATCAAGATTGTCAAAAACAAAAGGTCTGAGGAACTATCACAACCAAAAGAACCCTAAGGAGACATGATAAATTAACATAATGTGTTATCCTGAATGGGAGCAAACAACATAATTAGGGACATTAAATAAAAATCAGAGGAACTTGAATATAGACTTTACTTAATGATAATGAATCAACATTAGCTTCTTAATTGTTATAGTTACCATACTAAAGTTGTTAATAGAAGAAATTGGTATATATGAGAACACTCTACTATTTTTCATTTTTTGGTGTAAATTGAAACCATCTAAAATATAGTCTATTAGATAAAAATTTAAAAGGCAATGATGATTACTTTTTCTTCTAACATTAGAGTACTATTATTCTGAAATACTTATGAAAACTGCTACAAGGAATTACCTAAGATTTTTATGGATGACAATGTCACAGGTACTCTTAATATTAATGAGGTATTCTTAATATTAATCTCCTGAGGGAGATTCTCTATTTATTATGTAGGCAAGAGAACTAGAGAGGTCCCAGCTTTCATTAATTCCTTAACATTAATATTGTACCAATAAACAGCAACAAAATCCTGGGGTGACTCCTTTCTGTTTCTGTGAGTTCTTTCTCTAGTTGGTTCTACTTCGCTCCTGAGGGAGATTCCCTACTTATTACTAGGCAAGAGGGCTAGAGAGGTTTTTTGATTACATTTATATTTAAAGAACATGCTAAATACTAAGTTTGTTAGAGATTAGTACAACTAAATATATAATTTT